TCACCTTTATGAGAGCTGTGCCTTCTGACATAATGCCTCTCCAGTGAAGCATTATTTATTAGCAAGTTTGATTTTTCACAGTCTGGATATTTGAGCACTTCTATTAGGAATTTCCTCTCTTGCAAAAAGTGGCTCTTTTCCAATAAAACCATACCCTATAGCTTTGTAGGTAAAAATACAAAGAAATAAAAATATATTCTGAATTCTTATGATAAATATGTATACTAGCTTCAGCAGGCTTACATATACATACAGAACTAGGAAAAAGAAGTTGTAGCATTAGCTTTTGGATATTAAGTTTTCAGAGACTTTGCATGAGTGTGTTATTTTGTTAACAAGAACTTATCCTTCTCCTTTTCCTACCTATTGGAGTTTGGTTCAAAGCTTTACAGAGTTTTCAGTAGAGTTTCTATACCAGGACAGGCCTTTGGGCATTATCAGCTAGTTTTGTAAACAGATTTGATTTGTATACTATAATTATTACAAGACGGTATATAATGGAGAAGTATACTACCTAATTTTTCCAACACGCATTAATCCAGAGACATAACCTGGGATGAACACATAATTGCAGCTAATATCTTAGTGGACTTTGCCCCAGACCAGATGATAAGTCTTTGCCACAGAAAACTATTGTGGCCAAATCTGTGGGCCAAACATCAAGCTGTCAGAAAAGTGTTTCAAAACTACTTTAAAATATTGCTCTAGAGAGTAGCCTATATTACATATAAAGGGGCAGATCTTCATTCAGCACAAGTAGTTCCATTAAAAAAAAAACACACAAAAAAAAAAAACAACCCACACCAAATCAAAAAAACCCATACAACAATAAACTACTCACATGGGTAAAGCAAAGTGGATGTGATGCCCATTTCTATTTTTACTGCTGCATAACTTAGAAGAAGTTTCTTGTTTCTGGCTTCTCACTTATGGTCAAGTTTATCACCCCAGGCCTAATCCTAAAAAGATGCTGAACTTCCTGAAAGGTCCTGAAAGAACACAGCTTTCATCTGGCTTGGCTGAATCAGGCCCTTTGAGTGACTGAACTAAGAATATGACAAATCAGGTATACAATCCCAGTATCATAAAATATAAAACTGAAACTATTCCCTAGTGCTTTCCTGTAGACCACATGTTTTTAAACCTTAAAAAGATTTATTTCCCACTTTTCATGCATAAACTGACATATTATTTGAAATATCCCATAAAGAGATTAAATAGGAATTAAAGTCTGGGAGCATCATATCTATCACTGGGGTACAAACTCATGAAGAATTCTAGATGTCATTTAGCCTTGCATGTAAAGGCAGTGGCTGTTTTCACTTTGTTTCACAAAGAATAAGGAAAACACAATACCTCAGAAGACTTTCAGATGTGTTTTTCCCTGCTCCAAAGAAAAGGGTGGATGATAAAGCTACACACACCTTTTAATCTTCCACTTAGGGTTTTTACACATGTATTCCCTGGCAAAAACCCCAGGGTCTTCTCTTTCCCCTCCCTTTCTCTTAGCCCCTTTCCTGCCATCTCCCTTGCTATAACTCAGCTAACCCAACAGAACCAGTCAGTTTTAAATTTCAGTTGGGACCTCGGTGACCTGTTAATGAATCTACAGAGAGGAGAAAAACTCACAGTGTTGAGTTATGCCTGGTGTTGCTAGCTGACTTGGAGTCAGAAATGCTTGAAGCGTTAACGTAATTGCAAGAATGTGAAAAATGAAGCGTTGGGCTCCTGAGCAAAGTGAAAGGTCAAAGCAAGCCCTACACAAAACAAGTCTCTGGAAGATGGCCTCATTAGACCATTAAATCAGCTTCTTCTTTTTCCCCTTTGCAAGATGTTTAGAGTGTTTTATTTTTATTATTGGATATATTCAACTCTTCCCATGGCAGGGGGAAAGTTATCAGGCACACTACACACTTACTAATCTTTAAAATGGTATTGCACAGCGTTGATCTGCATTTGCGGAGCTAAACTGGAATAAGTCAATAAATGCCTGGTAGATTACAGGTCTCTAGTACTTTGGTTTGCTAGATGATCAATAGGTTGTATAGCTTAGTTCTCTGTTGAACAAGTGAGGTGACGTGTTAAGAACAACATAGACACTCATCACTAATAAAATTAGGATAATCTTTCAACATTTACTGCCTGAAGGCTCCTTTTTTAACTCTTTAAATGCCAGCATGTTTCTAATAATATCAGACACCAACTAGATTAACCCTTTTGATGCCAAAGGGCAGTCACTCACTGTTGTGGAGAAACTGTCCTCCATAAACAGACAAAATGCCTATACCTTTAAGAATTATGGGTGGATTCTCCTGTGTAATAAATAGATAGACCTCACACAGAGAAAGCCCACAAAAATTATGTCATCACTCACCCAACTGCTTTCTACCACCACACCTCCCCACCCAAAATAATATAATCACAAGCCATACATCATAGACTTAAGGAAAGCAGAGACCCCTGGAAAGAGTGTTCTCAAGAGCCAGAAGAGACTGACTGTAGCTTGAATCAATCTCTGCTGCCACCAGGCATCAGTGAAGGAGACCATAAGTTGCTAATGTAACTCAATATTCTCTAACGAGCTCCCATTCCCAAGAAATCCTTTGGGGCAAGTGTTATATGGGAAGCAGCATTTGTGGAAGGTCTTGAATGAAACCTTCATTTGTGAAACCAAGTTAACCCCAAAAAGTAACTGCACCTGAATAGCTCCAGAGGGCATCCACCCATCTTGGTATTGCCTGGGACTGACTCGCTGCTAGTTCACAAGTTATGAAGTAAATCCTGCTCCCTCTCAAGGAAACGAGGAAAACTCAATACAGGACTCCCTCTCTTTAGTCTCTCCCAAGGCTGAAGGGGGAGAGCAATCCAAAGCTGTCTCCAGTGGGAATTTTGCCGCTGCTGTAGGATCATACATCTTTCAGCTGACAGCGGCTGAGTGGAATGCTGATTTGCCCCTGGACGACTGCTTTCCTTTAAAAGGCCCAGCTGAGCACAAAAGGAAGCATACTAGCGATGTTTTAACCTGCTAGACTGTGCAGCACTAGTGACTGATTTCTGGCTCTTCAGCAGTTGTTCTCCTTCTGCAGAAATGAGTGTAACAGGTTTAAATTGTACATATTACCAGAAACCTCAGTCTCTAATGGGAAGTTGGCACAGGTGTCATCAGCTATTTTTTCTTATGCTTAGCAATACTTCTCAAGCACCCCGAGTTACGTTACAGGAAATCAGAGACTAGTGAAGTGCAAGATCTCTGGATGTCAATACAAGGTATTTATTTAGAGCAAGCATGGCTCAATGAAGAAACTCTTCTCATTTCTGAAGTGTTGCTGGTGCAGAGTGGAGATACAGGTGTGAGAAATTTCTTCCCTAAGCATGGAATGAAAACACTGTGGAAGACAACTAAAAGGAATCGTTTTTGAGTATGCAAATGATCATCTGCTACACGAAGCATCTTAGCCACAATATATAATGTATGGCCAGCTAACAGACATAACACCTATTCACTGCTTAGCCGTCAAGCTCTCCCTTTATTAGCTGATGAAACCGTAATGGTTCACACTGGGCTTGGTACAGCTCTAATCCAATCACACAGAAAAAAATTCCATGTGATTCATATTGGAGCTGGATCACACCTTGTGCCATGGTTGCATTTTATCAGCAATAAGTTTAACAAATGTATAAACAATTCATACAAATAGGAGACAAACCCAAACCACTCTACCAGAAACAAACTTTGCAAGTTCCTAGAATCACAAGGGGTATGACACCAGATCGTGAGACAGACAAGGGGATGGAGCTCTGTGCCAAACAGTGGGCCACGTGAGAGACGTGAAATCACATATCTGCTCTGCTGCCTAAGCGTGGCAAATACTGTGGTGGGAAGCAGCCTGCAGTGCAAGGCTAGTCAGCACAGCTCTCACCCCGCAGGCTGCTGCTCTCTCCAGTTTTGGAATCCCACACAGCCAGTAGGATAGCAAACCTCTCAGCTGGATCTGTTTGGCACGCATAACCCCCAAGTGGGGGAAACAGAGTGGCAAAATGTTGCAGATGGACAAGGTGGAGGAAGCATATCATAAGACCTTGTAAAGGTAACGTCTTGCTAGTTAAGACTTACATGTTTACAAAAAAAACCAAACCCAAGAACAGAGCTCACCTTAAACTTTGGTCTTAAAAAAATCAATTCCAATTTGATCCAAGAGCGACAGTAGACCATCTTTCCCAACTTTTAGCACTTGAGGCTTGATTCTTATACTTTCTGGAGTCACTTCTAACAAGCAAGTGTAACACACTATCATATCAGAATGACAGACTTTGACACTCACTCAGGATGGATGCAAATGACCACACACAAGGTGCAATTCAGTAGGAAATAAAACAAAAAACTCTGAAATAATAATCAAACCTCCCAAACCCATAAGAAGGCTTCACTGTATAGATGCAGCAGAGGTTTTACAGTTCAGGTACCTCTCTCTTTACCATTCTGAATCCAGATTTTCAGAAGCAGAAGCAAATTTGTACAAGCAAACATTGCAATAAACATTTTTCTGTCCAGTTCAGGCTTTGATTCTACTTTAGACAATTTAGCAGCTTCAAAATCTTATATAGGAGTCACTTCCCCAGTGAACACCACAGGTTGAATTCTCCATCTATAACCCAGCTCAAACAACTGCATCACAGCTGGAAAGCATGTCTGTCATTATATTTACTTACACCACACAAAAATAAACTGTAGATAACCAAATTTGTAAAGGAATTGGCAGAACTAATCAATTGTTATTACAAAGCTTGTTTGAAGATTAGATATTTCACTCTGAAATAATAGTAAAATGCAGCTAAGTAGGTTAGGAAAAGGAAATACCGTCTCCCTAAGTTACAGCTGATTATACTGCAAGTCTGCCACTCCATGTTTACTCTAAGGCAGATGTACTGATATAATAAAAAAAGCTGGAGTTATTTTAGTCATGCCTACTTTGTGGAGGGAAAAAAGTTTGACCTTTTACCTTGCTCGCTGCTGTTGTCTCCACTCTGGGAAGCGTGGCCCCCGCTGGAGGGCCCCGGTGTGCCTGCCGAGTGCGTTGAGGTTGCATCATCGTGGTCTCTCCAAGATGAAGGATTCTGGTGTCAGAGTGCCAAGGAATTTTTTCGACAGTTCCCATTCCAATGAAGCAAATGAAGAACAGAAAGAAAACCAGGAGAAAAGGGGAGGAGGGGGGAAAAGCATACACATTAGCATTTGTGAAATGTGTCAAACACCAATACTGTTTGCACAGTGTAATAATTTTTGAGCAAAGATAAGCAGAGAAGGTACAAAGGTTTAGTTGGTGAAATAAATGACAGATATTTTTCTTTTTTAAATTTTCCAAATACTGGTCTGGATTTAATTTTTAAATAGTTCTGCAGAAGAATATTTCAATAGAGTAAGAAAAAAAAAAGTTTGTTAATGTTAATGACCTATACAGAAGGGTGATGAGCATCAACCTGCACATTTATGACACTAGGTGTTCACATTAAAATCAGGATAGTTGGTATGCAAACTATCTCTCCTCACTTTGTTTTTGCATACTGACTAGAGATGGGAGGGGAGAGGAAGAGGAGAAAAACTGTTTCAAGAAGCAGAGGAGAATGTGTATGGGAGAGGGGCATGTCCTCACACCCTACCCTCTCTCTCACCCATTTGAATGCTGGAAATTTTCAAACAAATGCAAAGTTGTGAGGAAAAAAGCAAGCTTTCTCTGAAAGATGTTACATACCAGGGAAGATACTTCCTCACCCCCCCACTAGCACCTTGATATGACACATTTCAAAAGACTTTCTAGGTGTATCACTCTAACAGTTCACTTACAAGTATGTCAAGAATAACCACCAGGTGATTATATAAAATAACATGTATAGTGATTTTTATGTATTCTTTCTACATTACTATGCATAAAACATGACAAAAGGGAATGCAAAAGACAGACATATGAAGTTTGCAAAACTTGGCTTAAGTAAGGCCTCAACTACTGTACTTTAGTCACATAATTCATGCATGCTTTCTAATTTATTAGGTACTGGCTTTCCCGGGGAGAGGAGCTGCTATTTAAATGACTAAGTGAGGAAAACTGAATGTTACAGTTTAGTGCTACTTTGTTGAGTGTATTCTCCTCCTGTCCTCCTCCCCTTTCCTGATCATTCCCAATACCCTGCTGTTGCTTAAAGGAAAACAGGAATTTTACTGTACAGGAAGAGCTTTATCAGCACCACATGAAGGCAGGCAAGAGATGGAATTTCCTCTGGCAGAAAAAGAGAGCAAGAACACATGAAACAGATCAGACTAGGGGCTGGACCTGCATTACTTGTCACCTGTATGTGGCAAGTTAAATCAAGTGCATTATAATAATTCAACACAAAGCAAACAAAAAATCCTCCCCCCAAAAAAACCAAAAACAAAATAATCCAAAACAACTGAAAAACCCAAAACCAAAACAAAATTGCTTCTGAGGTTTGAGTATGTCTTAAATCTTCATTGTGAAATAACACCAGACTATTAAAGCACGTGGAAATCCTGGAAGCAGCAAGCTACAGGCTTGAGTAAGTTCTTTGAGCACGGCTGATTCTGACCTCATCTACCCTGACGTGTAGTAGGAATAAGTTCAACAAAATCAACCGATTTGCCCATTGTAAAATTCAGTGTAAGTGTGATTGGAATCAGGTCCCAAAATATATATTGAAACATCTCAAAGTAATCTCCTACCACTGATTAGTACCACATGCTCTATAGCAATGCAAAATAGAACTGCCAAATAACGGCTTGCTACAATACCCAGTAACATAAATCTAACGGTCCTGACCCAGAGCGCAGCAGAGACAAAGGGAAGAGCTCACAACTTCAAAAGGCTCCCAGCAAAGCCCTAGGTGACAAAAAAGTAAGAAGGATCCAAATCCCCTTCACCTTACACAGACACACACGTGCACCCAAGTACATGATTCCATGGGAAGGAGATATGAGTAAAATCAGAAGACAGTCCAGGATTTAAAATTAGCCTAACCTGTCAGCGCAACATACAGCACAACAGCACTTATGGCACAAAACCCCCACCCCCTTCCAAAACCTAGAGGACTGATTTACTTTTCCTCACACGGAACCACAAAAGGAAAAAAAAACAAAACACAAACCAAAAATTAGTATTTTATATTCACTGAGGTTGCAGTATTTTTAGATCTCAGAAATCACTATTAATATTGCAATCCCCCTGTTTCATTTAAAAAAAAAACCACCCAAAACAAGAACATTTTATAAAGTCAGGTGGAAACAAACACAAAAAGAAAGATAAGAACTCTTGAAAGTTCAAGCAACCCAGACGTTACTAAAAAGAAAAAGTTGAAAATAAGGTTACCAAAGAGTTCAGATGGAAATAAAATGTAAAAACTGAGCAAGTTTCTTTACAGCCTGGATTAAAACACAGCTATCGCTTATGAGCTTTCTCTTTTTATCTGTGAGTTAGGAAGCCACTCAAATAGCTTCAAGCTGAAGGCAAACAGCAGACAGGAGCTCTTCAGCCCTCTGCAGCCTCTTAGCGTCAGCTGTTTGCCGGATGGTAATCAGATAAAAAGCAAGAAGAAATACATGAAAAAAAGAAAGAAACAATAGCATAGCATGAGTTTAGCCCTCCAACATCAGGCTGGAACCTTCTTTTAGAAAATGTAATAATTGTAACGTGTTCATCTAGGGTAAACTTTTCAGGGAGCACAGTGAGTTATGTTAATTTTATGCACTGCAGGCTCTCTTAAGCTGGCTGCTGTTGGACCTCCTTATCACACATATGAAAATTACAATAATTAACTGGTAACACCTCAGATATGTTTTAAGGCAAATGTCATCCAAAACCTATCATACTGTATTTCAAAAGCTAGACTGGCCTCAATGTTTCAAAACCCTAACAAGTTGGAGAGGCTCACTGAGTAAGACTCCTGCAGCTGAAAACACTTGATGCCTCTACCAGGCTGAGGTTGTTCTTGACCCCAGTTTGTAGATCTTATTTTAGAAAGACAGACTGTATTGATTGGGAATTTCTTGTGACACAGCTTTCTTGAGGAAGCAATCTGGCAGAATTTTGCTGAAGGACAGAAATAATAAGATGGGATACTTATAAGATGTGACAGTAGAATGTTGAAGAAATTTGAAAGGGAGGGAAATAGCTAGACTTTAATATAAAAAATGACAAATAACTCTAGGGGTGGAGTTTACAGCCTCATAAAAAGGCAGCATTCTTTTGCTTTGGACTACGATCATTGTATGTGTCAGTGAACTTCTCTTTTCCTCCCCCAAACTGCTTCCAACTTTGCATCTCTCAAGAAAATTTCTTGGTCAAATGCCTAATCATAAGTAGTTATTTTATGTATGCCTTCACACAAAAAAATGGAACAAAATGACACATCTAAAGTGTACTTCACTGGAAATACTATATCAGTATAGGTTAGGTACCTAAACAGATCTGCTGACATTTACTGCATTTTTTCTATTAATTTCAATGAAATTTGTATTAAGCTATCACACTGTATAAAACCAAACCCACCCCACCCCACCCCCCCAACAAAAAACACCCACAAACCAAACAAAAAAAGACAAAACAAACAGAAACCCGAAATGTTAGCAGGGCTTCTCATATCTTCTTGCAAGTTTAGTAATATACTTTGCAGAAACACATTGACAAGTGTGGATGATGTCTGCCAAAATGCAATTGCCTGGTTTGTGTACGTGTGCATACTATAAAATTTTCACACACATATGACCTAAACTAATGCCAAATACCACAGAAGGTAAACAGCACACATGTATCTATTCCCAGTAGTTTTAATAATTGGGATTCAAATATGGTGCTGCTCTTGCTCTTACCTAATTGTGTTAAAGAGCAGTGTTACCAGGAGAAAAGCAGTGAATACTGAGTAGAGCACAATAGAAGGAGATGGAAAATAGATACAAGAAGCTAGGTCTCCAGGGGCAGTATTTTCTATTTGCTGGGCTACAGACTCACAGCTGATAATGCAAGTTGTAATTAATATAAAAGCAGGAGACAATATGGGGAAAGCTTGTACTAGCAGGGCCACAGGAGATCACTCTGCTGCTATCCACTGTTTCTCATTTACACACACAACCTTCTCTAGAAAACACAATTTTGCCAGTGCTTTTTCCCTTGAAAGTTTAAAAAAAAAAATAAAATTGATTTAGCACCACCATAGAATTTTGCTAAATCTAGAAAGGGGCAACAGAAAGGACAAGAGTCTCCTGGTATATAAAGCAAAGCTGACGCATTACGTTTTTGTTGATGTGGTGAACCTGGTGGAAACTATGAGAGATTTTAACTGACACGGGATTTCTGGAACAGAGATGTTGTAACAGAAAAATTTGATATAGGATAACCTTCTGTTAAATTGCAATTTTTACTTTCTATGCCCAGAATTTCCACTGAGCAAAGTCTGCCTAGTTTTTTGTGAGTGTATATACTCCAGCTAGAGCTGACTCTGGTCTCTTTATAGTGATATTAAAGACTCAATTAACCAGAAGGAATTTGCTTCTTATTTATAACTGGAGAGTAAAATCAATCAGGCCAGCTGATACCCATGTAAGTAAGTGAAGCTGGATTTGGATCACAAGCATTAACTGAAGTTTGAAGTATACAGCTGTGACAGGATCAGGCCCTCACATTTGATCAGATGAAATGGACAAAACCATTGATCTTGCAGGAACAAATAAAACACAACTTACTTTCATAAAAGAAACTACAATGACGATAGAGCTTATTCTTTGGGAAGATGGTTGGACTCAAATGTCTAGAGGTTTCTCTGGTAAATTAATTTTTCAAACACAAAACTGAACCAAGGTACTGACACAGATGGCATTTCTCCCCCAGCCAAATCGTGCTCACTTTGCTCTTACAAGTAACACCTGTAAACACAGTGGAATGACTGACATGACTGATACCACAAAAGTCTGTATCTAAGTATGTCCATATATCAAAAGGTGATATACTATGCTGGATATAGAAACACATACAAGCACATGTGTTTCTATGTGTGCATCTGTGTCTGTTTGTATGCATATAGCTCAGGATGGTATCTTAGAGACTGTTGTGGAG